GGTGATAAAAATACTGTCGTCTGACGAAGTTTCTGTTTCTATTTAACGAAAACAAATTTATAAAGGGGTAGGTATTACAAATTACTTGATACACAGATATATAACTATAGTTTATTATTGCACCATTAGCTTGTTGTACAATTGCCTTGTGTTTTGTTACTCAAAGTATCTTTTCGTAAAAGTCGTATAATTTTTAACCACTCCGCCCTACGCGTTCGATCTTTAGGTATACTGGAAAACAAACAAAATATCATTTTTAATAGTATTATGTATTAATAGTATTATGGTTACACTTTACGTTAAAACGATACAACGAATAAACTTGAATTAAAATCACATTTGTCTACGAATTCAAAAGTAACTTCAGAAAGTTTAACTCCCAACATTATGGGCAAATGAAAATTGATTTACTGGCAACATTGATGTTTAAAATAAATTTATTTCATTTTTATTTTTAAATACGACAATCTAAACACACAAAAGCAAACTTACCAGTGGAAAGTAACCTCAGTAGTTTTATGATCATTTTCGAACCGAGAATTGCAAATTTTAATTGCATATTTCACCAATTTGGATACTTTTGTGTCACGTCTCGGTGACGTACTCACTCGAATTCAAGATGGTGACTGATGTTACTGTTGCCTGTGGACAACAGTGCCGTGGTTGCCGTTTGAAGGCCCAGATTACGAATCTATTGTTTACAAGTATAATATCATTGGTCAAAATTGTGTGCGATTGACATTTCATTTTGAATAAAACTTCATCTCGACTGATATTAGAATTGAGGTCCAATCAAATTGTTTGGTTTTTCAGAGATGTTCGAAATTTGAAAGTAATAATAACATCGAATTTGATGTTATTATGAAGCAATAATAACATTTTCACAGATAAGAAATTTGTTCTAACAAGACAGTTTAGTACAGTAACAGAGACCTTTATGCTAGTCGTAATTTGCGGTTTTTGAACACATTACACAGAGTTTATGATATGTGTTTATGATATGTGAAAAATTATTTTCTGAACTTTGACAACAAATTAATAAGCGTATCAATAGGATAGCATTGTGTGTTACAAAGGCAAATCTATTATTATCGGGCCAAGATAGCATCCTCTGTTTGATAGCTATGAACGACGATAGAACGTAACTTAATAATTATTGTCGAAATAGGAAACGAATAGTTAAATAATTTATCTCCACTGTGAACACTAACAACGTATTTATTTCGGTTAAATATATATTATTTAACTACAATAACACATAATTTAATTTAATATCTGCATTAAAATTGTGATATTCCGTATTTATGATATGTCATTTATATGGTTATGTTCTATGGTTTTTTTTTTTCTTAAACCTAGTGATGTCCCGCAAGCAACGAGGTAGTACCATTGATTAACAAAATTATGTAGTATGGTTATTATAGTACAAAATATCCCCAGAAATTAAGCAAAAGTCATTAACGAAAATTTATACAATAAAAAACATGAATAAATGTATAATATCAAAGCAATCACTGCAGACACCGTTCATAAGATTACTTACCTATGTTATTTACAAATATATGTTAATTTTGCCGAAAAAAATGTTAACAAATTATTTAAGTAACCACAAAATTCTCAAAAGATGTATGGTACACCATCATAATAATTGTACACAACATTATTATTGGGTAATAAATTAAAATAAAAATGTGATTGAAAATATTAACGTTTTAGCTTGAACTAAATTTATTTTTGACGACCTTGGTGGCCGAACGGCTTGCACTGTGGACGCTGAATGATGAGGTCCCGGGGTCGAGTCCCGGTGGGACCAATTTGGAATACGAACTTTTCTAATTTGGTTCTAGTCTGGGTGCTATAGGTATTACCTCGAAACGAATTCCGTTGCTCTGGTACTCATGTAGAGAAAATAATCATAGCGGTTGTCTGCCAAATTATTATTAATATTAAATATTAACTGCCTCAGTGGCCGAGCGGTTACCATACTGGACTGCCACGCAGAGGTCCCAAGTTCGATTCCTGGGCCGGGGGAAATATTTGTATGGCCTACATTTATTTCTCACGTGAGTTTGGGTGTAATTTGTCGCTGTCTATGTGGTGTCCAAGGCACTCGTGACACAAGGATCCCCTAGTACGGGGCTATGTTGAGTGTGTGCGTTTACTATTATTATTTAGTTTTTTAATTGAAGAAAAAAGAGTGTTAACTAGATTATAAGTTTACCTCGCCAGCTGTGAGTTGTGGTGCTAGTTCCAGCATGTGGCTCAACGGATGGGGCAGTAGTTGTCCCAGTGTCATGGTGGCGAGCAGTTCTGTTAACGCAGCTAGTTCTCGAACCATCTCTGCCGACTGCGTGTGTCGATCTGTTAAAAAATATTTACTATTTGTTAGGACTAACTGAAGGTAAATATAAGGAAGTGGTGCTGTTTGCTACGGTGGCGTCCAAAGATAGGCAACCGTCCGGATTTGAACCGGCGCTTTGTAAATGCCGGGTTTAAATCGGGTTAAAACCCATTAACGCCCAAAATCCACGGCAAAAACTATTTACAACTAAATGTTTGTTTCGGATTTAAATCACGTATATTTGTTTTTTAACAAACCAACGTTTCCAACATGGTCACGGTTGACTCAGGTGGTAAAGTCATCAACCAGTTATGTCTAATATTTATGCAAACCACCTTATTTTTTCCATTATAGTTACAAAAGTTAAATTAAATGAAATACCATGTTATAAATATATCTCTTATGGCCGGAAGATTATGGCTCAGATTCGCACAGGACCGACTGAGCTAGAGTGCAAAGAGGAGGCCTATACCCAGCAATGGGTGCTAACAGACTGAGATGAATATATATCAAAGAGTTCTGTCGGTTCGATCGGTTCGTAGCTTATTTTCAAATTCATAAACTAGACCTAAACGTAACTAAGTGTTTCGTAATATCTTACTCACGTCAAAAACCATTATCGGTGAAGGTTATAGTCTTCTAAGTTGTATGAATAGAGTGGACAGTATTAGAAATCCGGCCTGTATTTTGATTCCCACCTTCTCTTCGATAAACACATTGATAGTATAGTTGCTAAAGCATACAGAGACATGGGGTTCTTTTTTTATTTTATCGACATAAAGCCTATTAAATACTGTACTGGGGCCTTACCATGTACTCTTATTACAGTTCAATATAACGACAAAAAAATCTCAAAAAAAAAATGCCAATCGAGAGAGCCTATTGTCCTAATTAAATATTGTCATTTCACATTTTGCCATAAATATAACAATTTAGTAGGAAAAAATAAAATGTGTATTTCTTGTATGGACCATACCTTTAGTGCCCTATCGCTACAAAGTCTTAGTCAATCCTGTCTTGGAATCACTACAGACGTATTATTAGACCTACCTTCTATAGACTTGCACACTAAACGCGCGCCCAAACCTGCCTATTCACTCCTTATATTGCACAGTATCTGACGCGTATAAGTAGTGAATAAGCAGGTTTGGGGGCGCGTTTAGTATGCAAATCTATAGAAGATAGGTCTAATAATACGTCTGTAGTGATTCCAATCCAAGACAGGTTCGACTAAGACTTCGTAACGATGGGGTACTAAGGGTATGGTCCCATACAAAAAATACACATTTAATTTTTTTCTTACTAAACTATTATATTTATGGCAAAATATTATTTATAAATATTAAAATATTAGATAGTAATAATTGTTTTTGTCAACAGCATATATTGGTTTTTTCTTTTAAGATTATTGTCTTTACTTAAGACTTTAGTTGCCTAGTACTGTCTCCAGTCTCTCACAAGGGATACAACATTGAAAATTGTTAGTCTATTATAAAATAAGTGTATATTACCTTGTGTTGAGAAACTAAACCATTATTATTATTATTATTACATATTTAGCTAAAGAAAATAATTGAAGCCTAACTACATTTACTACAACTAAATTTACAAGGTGAAAAATAAAATTGTTTTCATGTTTTTTCAAGAGCTCAAGTTTCCACAACTCCGCGAACTGTTGGCGCACGTGTCAAGCAAGGCGAGCACTTGTACCGTATTGGTTGTTCTAGGCGGTGCTGACACTGGTCACTGGACATGGATGCATTGGTGAGTACCTGCATCGCGTAGCGACTCCTGTCTGCCACGAATGCGGCACACCATGACGGAATGTGCGGCTTGGGGCCCTCAGCGGCGGTCCCTGACAGCCATAGTGGGAGGAGATTTCTCGCTGCCAACAATCGTGGGGGCAATGCTCGGTAGCGAGAGGTGCTGGGAGGCTATGGCCTCATTTTGCGAAAGCGTAATCTCGCAGGAGGCTGCGGAGCGCTCCAGAGAGGACGACCCCCTCTCTGACTCGCTACGAAGACATAGGCTGGGGAGACGAAGGAGGCAGTACGCCCGCCTTCTTCGTCCGCCGTAGATTAGGGGTCAGGGGACCCCTTCCACCAAGACTAATGGTGCCCGTGGCACCCTCCACAGGATTGAGCCCGCTCCATACGGGCCATCCGCCGAGACGTCCCAGTAGTATGTGCAAGCGGATCTTGGCGCGTCTCTCTATGGCGGTAGAGTTAACCGCTGGGTTTTTGTGGTGTCGCCACTTCGTAGTTTATTGAATTTAGACTAGACTGTAATACCTACGTACCTGGTTCAAATATTCTCAATGTAGATATTGAGGGACGACAAAAGATACTTAATTTATAGGTATACATATAAGCGGGTAGAAAGACACTGAACCATGATGAAAATGTTCATAACACTACACTGTGCTATGACGAGGAACCGTAGAGGTGTGTCTCGTAGGTAGGGTATATTCACTTACACATCCATATCTTTAGTTTTAAACAAACTGAAGTGCACTCGGTACCCGTAATACGAAAAATGGGTGAAATTCGTTTACTCACCAAACGATTGGTTATCGCGTGTTTCGCGACAAGTAACTACCAGCCGGGACTTCCGCCCGGGAGCGGCACGCGTGACGCATTTCCCAGCGCCAAAAAAGAAAAGGCGGTACCGACCCAGGTAGGCGCGCAGGCGGTGCAGCAGCGTGGCGGCCGTGGCGCGCAGCAGCGCCGAGGCCAGGCACAGCGCGGGCCGCGCGGCGGCGCAGCGGCGAAGTGCGGCGCGCGACACGGCGCAGCTCTCCAGCGCGCCGCGCATGTACAGCTCGCGCTCGATGCTCACTTGCTGCCGGCAATTAAAACTAAATCCTATTTTCACTTTTCAAGTTCGTACTTATGCTGGGTGTAAGCTGCATAAAATAGGATTTCATCATTGACTTACAAATAAATGGACGACGGGTCTAATACAAAAACCACGAAAAAAATGTCCCAAGTCAACCTATTTAAACGTAGTGACATGTAAAGGAATATAAAAAAGGTAAAACGTTGATTTAAAATATTTAAATTGTAATGTCATCGCAGTACTGTCTAATTTTGCTTGTTTCGCTGTCAGTCGAACAAACGAAGACTAAAGCGTGAATGACGCTCTGTATACGATTTTAACGTCCTATAAGTTCGGACACTTTTTAGCCCGGACCCGACGTCCATATAATTGTAAGTCAATGGATTTCATGCTCTAGGGCAGAGGTTCCCAGGTTTTTTTTTCTCATAGACCACTTTCAAAAGTTAGCTGGTTCCGGTGGAGCCCCTGCAGCTACATTTCGACCATATTCCCAAAACTCGGCAAGAAGTGTGAAGATTCGATCTAACTATGGAAATTTGCGTTGCGGCTGTAGACCCCCGTCGAGTCTCCCACCACCAGACCACTTCGGGAACTAAAGCTCTAGTGCATGAAAAGAAAAAACCATCAAACTAAATATGTCTAATTGATGTAATTTTACATTAAATTTTAATTAAATGATCGTTTATTTGTAATATTGCTGTTTAATTTCCTCGCAATCGAAGTGAAAAGCAGAGTGTATAACTCGTTCATAAAAAGCAATTTACCCGCGACTTAAGTGTCCATACTTGTCTCGGGTAAAATGACGCGTTTTATGCACTTGTTGTACTATCTACTATATTTCACATGCCAAATACATTATAAAATACGAACAATTATAAAATATATAATAATTCGTTCATAAGTAATACATAAAAACAATAGGAAAACGTAATAACAATAATAGAAAAAAAATTAAAACAAGTAAGGAAACAAACAAAAGCATGTCAAAAAGGTCCATGACTCGGTCACGGCATTTGAGGACTATGCTAATTACATAGCTCTCGCTGATATTCTGCCATGACCTGTCATAGAAATAGAACACGATAATAAAATTAAATTAAATACAAATACGAACACACTCAGACACTAAATAAATTAAATTAAATTTGACACATACAACATTTACACTTGAAAATAATAATTAAATTTAACACATATTCATAATTCACATCATCGTCATCGGTTCGGCCAAAACGCGTCCGCGTGGGTGTGCTTTGCCCTTATTCATCTAGGAATAAGAATAGTGACATCGGCCTTTTTTACTGATCACGGCTGTATGCAAAACAAAATTTTTGAAAAAATGATACATATCATCCCTTAGCAAACAACACCGCTTAAGTCATTTTACAGGAGCGAAAAAAACCTGCATATATTATTGTATAAAATGTTTTTTTACTTATGGGCATTGTTCACAATTTTTTACCTATACATATTAATTTTTTTTCGAAGATATAGACTATTTTAGGACTCTAATTTGAATATTTTATCATTTCGTAGGTTATTCGCCTTGTTACGTTTTTTTGAAAATTTAGCAAGTTATTTATTTGGTGACGTAATCAAAGGCTCTCTAAAAGTTGTCCTTTGCGGCAGGGCATATTTAAAAAAGTAAATTGGCATCTCTCAAAATGTCAAAAACGAAATTCTAACCTATAGACAGAGAACAAAAAGTAAAGAGAACGGACACTCTCCGCCCCTCCCTAGCTTTAGATACCGCACCACGCCCCGCACATTGCCGGTCACTTTGACTGAACGACAACAAGGCTGCCGGCGAGCCGTTTTCACGCGAAGACGGCTTTGATATTTGAATATAGTTTTCATTTATTCGTTACGAAACTTGTACGTTAATATAAAACATTATTTTACGTTACTATTTATATGGTCGTGAATAATGTTGTGTACGGCTGTTTAACATCATTTTCCGAAAGATGAAACGAAGTAGGTAAGTAAAAAAACTTATGTCTGAGACTCATTCAGTTATTGTTTTCTTCATTTTTTTACTGCAGAATAATATATGTACGTATGATAAATACACATTTATTATATCAATATAATGAGGCGCCATGACTTTGATGAGATTTTATTTTCATAATCATGACATTAATCCACATCAAGAAAAATGGGCTGATATTAGAATTATTATTTATTAAAAATTCAGTCATTTCATTCACTGTTTATTAAAGAAAAATTGCATGCAAATATGGCACATATCTGTAGTTGAGTGTTGTTTATGCAGTGAAAATTTCAGTATCGAAATCATTTCGACATTTGAATAACTTATTTTAAATACAAGTGGCAGGTTTTTTAATTTCTTTTGAATGAGAAGTGCAAATTAGATTTTTTTTTAAATTACCTACATTTTCTATACTGATCAAAATCCTTATTGCAAGTTTAGTCTGAAAATTCAAGTTGATCACATATCCTTTACACTGAATCAATTTGTTTTGTTTTAAAAAAAGTTACAATAAGACACTAATATTGTTTAAACAATCGTAGATACATCTTAGGTTTTCTGAATATCTATCTAACAATATGTTTTCTACTTTTTAACACTGTTTTTGTCTTGTCCATAGTAAAGTTAATTCTTCCATTTCGGATGTAGAACCAAACAGAGAAGGAGTAGCTGTTGAAGAAACTTCTCGAGAAGAAAGTGTTTCAGCTGTCGTCCTGGCACTTGTTGTTTCCCTTATTCTATAATTTGTACTCTTGTCGACCATTCTTATTTCACACTGTTTTGCAGCGTACATCTAAAAAGTAGATTGGATACTTCTTAATGCAATCAACAAGATTTTTGTTATAAGAATGCTTCACAGCACAAGAATAATGATATAACTAAATAAACTTTACAAGTAATGTGCAAGTCGGGAACGTATTGGAGACTACACAAACTCTCCATGTTTTCTTTTTTTGCTGTTATGCTGGTACTAAGTTGGAATAGCAGTTTTTGTAATCCACTGTCTTTTGATTCACTTGGATGCTGAAAATATATTATTATTAACTTTCTATGGTATACAATAGGTAAATTTAAAATCATACAAATCAAACTGTTGAATTCATACCTCATTTAATATACTGATATTGGCAGCTTGACTGTGCATTTGAGTTTTTGCTCATATTTCATAATTATCACTTTGAAACAGTTCACCAAATCTCCGGTCGGCTATAAAACTAATGGAATATTATTACCTAGGAAATTTCACAGTAGTACTAACAGTGAAAAGAAAGACAAAGTGTTGTTTTATACAGGTTTATCAACTTACTTCAAAGTGATCTTCGCAACAACAAATAATATAAACTTTGAAGTGTCTCACGTGTACTTCACGACACCATTCTCGTAGGTATGAACAAAGCACTTTCTGTATTCCATACATTGACTTACAATTATATGGACGTCGGGTCCGCGCTAAAAAGTGTCCGCACTTGTAAGGCGATAAAATCTTATACAGAGCGCCAAACTCCGCTTTAGTCTTCATTTGTTCGACTGACAGCGCGATACTGCAATGACATTACAATTTAAATTTCGAATAGGTTAACTTGGGACATTTTTTTCGTGGTTTTTGTATTAGACCAGTCGTCCATTTATTTGTAAGTCAATGATTCCATACCTGTGTTATATTTGATATTTTGTTGTATTCCATAGCTGTGTTATATTTAGTATTTTGTCTCCCGGCAGCGAAATCAAAAGTTCCAAAGGTAGTAAGGTTATGTTCACAAACGTGAAGTGATATTTAATTTTTTTTTTTTGCGTTTTTGCTTTGCATTACACACGGACAAAACATTATAGAGCCAGTGATGACGTAATTGAATGTCAAACAAAGGTCAATATTTTTGAAAAATATAAAGAATCTCCACGTAATATTGACAAATACATAGAAAATATTAATCAGCAACCTTATTCCTTGAAATGGATCTTGAAATAGAAAAAATGGAGAAGAAATGGAGTTTGAAAAAAAAATGAACAATGTCCATTATTAGTAATAGGATAATTAACCTAATTAATAATAGGTAAAAAAAATTATACAATAAAATTGAGAAAAAAAATTAAAAATCTTTATGTGTCCTTTCAACTAACAGCGGCAGTATCGCAAGAATTGTTTCAAGTATTCAAATCTTAGGACTGGTTCGCTTTTGAACGTTAAACACGCGTTTAGCTTTTATATATATATATATATATATATATATATAATCTTTATATAAAATCTAGTGACGGGACGAACAAGTCGGCGCCACGCCTGTCCATAACAGTTGCAGTGCCACTCAGAGCTTTAAATCGCAAATACCTGACAGACACTACCACTGCGCCCGTCACCTTGAGACATAAGTTGACAAGTCCCATGTGCAAGTCTCACCAAATATAAAATTTGCGTATTTATAAACGCACGTTAGCAAAACGCGAGTATAACGCTTGTAATGTGAACCGGCTCTTACTTTCGAGCCCACTTTCATTTATTATTAATTCATATTCCCTTTTTTATTTTGTCAATTAAATTACGTCACGTCAATTAAATTAATTTTGATTTTCATGAGATTGACTAACCTTGGTGAAATCTTCGTCAGGCCATGGAAGCCCGTTATACATTACATCTGGCGAAACCAATTCTACGAGCAACAGTGATACCGAAGTTGCTCCTTCTACCACACCGCTGTTGCCGTCCTGATGACAAAAACACATGAACACTTTAGACCACATTAAACATTCTAATGACCTTATACATTTTATTTTAAAACCGCCCTTGCAGCTTATTACGCGTTCATTCACTCAAAACTCACTTACGGAATAGTAATGTGGGGAAATTGCACCATAGTAGTATTTATTTATGTTACGAAAAAAATGTATAAGATATATGTATGTATATATATGTATAAGATAAACAGGCAACTTTATGGTCGAATCTAAGGTGGCCAGTTGGTATTTAGCAGAGCCATCCCATAAGTGAAAGCAGTACACCATACAAGACCGGACTTGTGCTTGGTACAGCTGAAGCAACTGTCCTGGTGTGAAGTAACGCGTCACCTTGGAAAGGATGCCAAGCTTCCTGGCTGCATTTTTGGCCATGGATTCAATGTATCTGCCGAAGTTCAGATTAGACGACTGGTCCATTCCAAGTAGCTGGAGACGGTCGGCTATCGGTATGGATATATAACGAAAAATCGAAGTCAGGTGAAAGGGACTCCGTTTTGAGGAGAATAGATACGCCTGTGTTTTGGTAGCATTACATTTGACAAGATTGGCATCGTCTCAATCGGAGACTGCCTTAAGTGTCAAATTCAAACTAACCATGGCCACTCGACAAGACTGGGTTTCTTCTCCACCGACCCTTGCATTCAAGTACTTGTCCACAACTGTACTGTCATCAACATACCCAAAGGCACCTGCATAATTGTATCAAAATTAAAAAACCCTGATACAAAACTGTGTACTACAAAAAGTCACCATCTTGAAACCAGCTATTAACAAATTAACTATGCTAACTCGAATTTAAATGTAAATTAAATTCAAAATTAAGAAAAAATACAATAATTATAATACTGTATTTTATCACCTATGACAGTCCATAACAGTTGACAGTGCCACTCAGAGCTTTAAATCGCAAAGATCTTAGGGGCACTGCCACTGCGCCCGTCACGCTGAGACACAAGTTGACAAGTCCCATGTGCCTGTAATTTAACCAGCACCCTTACCCTTCAAAACTGGAACGCAGTAACGCTCACTTATTTCTTGGCGGCACAAATACACTACATTACTGCTACAACAACCGCACCCATATGTGGACGTATAGAGTACTATCATAATAATGTTCCTTTTTTGTATTTTTTCATGTATTTTAATTAAAATACCTAACAACTATCAACGAAAGACTACAGTCTAAGTGGCAGATTGGGTTTTATATTAGAACTTAGCTCGCCATCCAGATAAGAAAAATGCAGTAAAACGAACTCACCATACAGGACATAAGAGCTCCCATCAACAGCTCATTGTTGGTAGTGAGTATGGGCGGCACAACGTCCGCGTCTGCGCGGACGCCTTTGCGCACGCCCTTGCCGATGAT